ATGTCTAACAATTTACATAACTATTTTCATAAAATATTCTTCCTCTAAGTACCATGCAAAAAAATTCTACCTTTGTTATTTCCCCTAATTTGAGTGAGAGGAAAGTTAAAATCAATGTTCCCTACTTTATAGTTAGCCAGGCCTCACGTTCTTTTTTCTTTTGTTAATTAGGTAATTCTCAAGAACTCTCAGACTTGCCCAATTTAAATACAAGTATAAGGTGGGATTTTAAAATCAGCACAGAAAACTCCGCAAGGGAGAGGAGATACAATATTTGTAGAACTCTTGGTGACCGCAAGAGCTGAGAGGATGGATTAGAAGCTGGAGAAAACTCAAGTACACAGTGAGCTCTCCATGCTGGACATGTTTTGTGATTTTGTTACATAAGATACAAGAGGTCACACCTTTAAAAGCTGGGTGAATTTCCACTAGTCTGCTCCACTAGAAAGGGGCCCCTTAGCCTCATAGCAGAAAGGAGTCGATAACACAAAACTGGAGAAAGCATTCAAAACATACCTGGATGAGGCTTTGTATAGCCTCATCTCTATCTGGGGTATAAACTCTTCCCAGAAAGGCTTGAATCGGTATCATTCATCTAGCCTTTGATGCAATAAACCTGCAACTCACACTCCAAACTAATAAACTAGACTGAGAAAGAGGTTAGACGTGATGGCAGGTTGCTGATTTCCTTCTCTTTCACCGTTGACTGTGAAACAACCTCTCTTAAGGATGGTAGGTCAAGGTATACTGATAAATGACTCAAATCTTTCACAAGACAAGACAAGAAAAAAGATAACAAAATTGTATTATAGTAAAAAGGGAAAGAGGTAGAGGAAATAGGGCACAAACACTTCATTATATTTCATAGTCAGTATAGAATACTACTATAACATATACATGAGCAAGTGTGAAATGCAAAGTCAGAGTTATAAAGGCTACCTCAAAATCCACACACCCAAGTTAATCACAAAAGTACAAATTCAAAGTAAAACAGCAATAGAACATACTATATATTTTAAAAAATAGAAATTAAGGCAAAAAATGGCAAACAAATCAGGTGAGATCCTTTCATTTTTTTTTTTTCTGTGTAAGAACTATGGATGCCTCCCACCCAGGTATACCTGTGACTTCACGATCTCATCAGGGTCCTGGGTCCTTTGGAACATCCTTCTGCTTCATCCTTGGCCTCTGGTTTTCATCCTTTTGAAACCATGAGTTAGCAAGACAGTTGCTCAGACAGATGATAAACAAACAAACGGAAAAGATATATACTGGTTGATACCTTTTTGGAAGTTCTTGGTGTATAGTAGGTTTTATTTGTTGAATAAATAAAATGAATGAATCCTTGGTAACCTTTTCTATTACGGATTAGTGACCAGTACAGATCCTCCAAGAACACTCTGTGCTTAGCCTTACATAGCGTACTTAAGACATGTGTTGAAGGGTTCCATTTATTTATCTCTCTCCATAGAGATTCACCTTTTATTTCCTCAAACACAGTAGAATGACTAAAATACAATAGGCAGTTAATGAATGTTTTCAGATTAGGTAAATAGAACTAATATGAGGATTGGCCCATAAGGTTCAATGCTTTGTGGATCTTTCCCCCAGCACTTCGTATGTCCCAGGTACTCTTCAGGATATTGGGGTTAAACAGGCTAATAAATACCCCTGACCTTGTGGATTCTTCATTCTATCCAATAGAAACACAAGTATATGATGTGGAGTTCAGTGCATTGGAAGCTATTAAGTAGAACGAAAATGAAAACACAAATCAAAGATAATTTGTTGCCAAGATGGAGAGGAACCAACAGCTATGGAACTACAGTGGTTGTCAGAGGCCCTGCTGTAAAGTTGACATTTTTACTAACAACTTGAAGCTAATAAAATGGGTATCTGGGGCTATTCTGGCCAAAAGAAATAGCCAGTATTAAAAGTCCCAACATGAAAATGGGCCTGTCACGTTCGGAATCAGTCAGGAGGCCAGTGTGGCTGGAGGTGAATGTGGGACCATGAGAATTAGAGATGCTGTCACCAAAAAAAAAAAAAAAAAAAAAAAAAAATCAGGAGTTAAGTCATGTCATGTCAGGCTCCACGCACCATTTAGGCATTTTGGCTTGTGCGTTTAGTGAGATGGAAAGGCCATCCAAAGTAAGACTTTTTCATTGTCTGTTAGCTTAATGAAATGACAATGACATTCACGCCTGGGCCTGGATTGGAGATGCCTCTCTTGCTCGGAGTGTGGAATTTATATTCAAATATACTTGCCACTCAAAATCACACCTTTTTTTTCATTTTTGGAAATATTCTTGTTTTCCCACTATACCCTACTTTTTACCAGATAGAAACTAAATTCAATTGCCCTTTATACACGACTCAACAGAAGCCAAACCTCGATCTTACCTGCTAAAATCACATAAAATGTTGATTTAGAGGAAATTCGCTTTGCTTGGAGACTATGCCTCAAGACCTTTCCGTTTATTGGGAAATGGAAAAATGGAGCATTCAGAAGCCCCCAACTTCCAATTACTAACTGGTATGTTTTGTTTTATCCTCTCATTTCACAAAGAACAGCTATTAGTAACAAATTTTCACAATTAAATCAAGAAGCCATGCTCAGTGCATGAAGAGGTCAGTGAAGTTGGCAAAGCAGGAAGAGGAAGGTTAGAAAAGAAAGGAGGTACAACCCTGTAAGGCTTTTAGCAGAAAAGACATTTGAAAAGGTAAAGGAAAGAAACTGAGTGATGTTTCTAGTTAAAAATTGCCAGTTGTAGATAAAGTCCTGTATACCACATAACGTTAGACATACCTGTAATTACTAACTAATATAAAACATAGCTACCCCAGACTTCAACTGATCCTACCTCTGGTTCGTTAACAATTTTCTATTTGATCACCAAGATCTATTTCAGTAGCCTCCTTTTATGTAGCCATGCAGTCCAGCTGTTTTAGAGACAGGCACAGTCTCCTGGAAGGGTGGACAATAAGGTAAAGAGTATACCTCGGTCTTGCTGAACAAAGTGTGAGGCAAGAAGCCAGAGGGTAAGGGAATGGAACAAACTCCCACACGTGCCCTTCTTCTTTGGATAGTCCTGTTACTTGTTCAGCTAAGCAGCTGGTCAAAGCAGAACCAACAAGGAGAAGAGCCAGGAACTCACAAGCAAGATACAGAAACCAAACAGGAAACAAACAAACATGAGAAGGAAAAATTCTCAAATGAATGTTACCAGATTTTTCCAAAAAAAAAATCTATTCCCAACAGCTTACGATTTTATGTCTCTTGATCTTTCATACCAACTGAGAAACAGGATGAAACGAGACAAGACTTTTTTTTTTCTTGCTTTTCTCTGAATTTTCCCTAAGTGTACTCTACCACTCAGTGATGATAAGACAAAACCCACCAGAGAGGAAAAGAGGGACAAAAAGCTGCTGTTTATACATGAGCGGTCCCTGCCTTGGGAGACGGGAAATATAAACTTGTTGAGACGCTTTCCCGATTTGTAGCAGGTCCTGGACTCAGCACATTCATAATTTACAGGGGTTCTGAGGACTCTTAAGCTCTGGCTAAACTGACTTTAAGGGATCACTTTGTTCAGCGTTTCGCTGACTCTTTGAAATGCTCCAAGAGGCTTCAGGTATTGTTACCTACTGTGGGGTCACTAGTGCTTATAATCACGGAAGTCCTATGTAAATCTATAGGCAACTCAACAGGACTCAGCAACAGGAACTTTTCACTACTCCTAATTGAACTGAAGTAATTGGCAGTTTTTATTTGATTAAGAGGAGAGTGAACAGCATATACATTGTTTTGGATGGCTCAGAGTTACAAAGCTATACACCAATCCATGTGGTCATGCCTCTCCTTCCACTCTCTGCCTTCCTTCTTGGAAACCAATTATTTAATCTCTATCTCTGTATGTTCTAGACAGCTTTTAAAACCCCTTCCCAAGCACCCAGGCCTGGTAACTACCATCCTTTACTACTGTTTCAAGGACCTGATTGCTCTTGACCCTTGTAGTTATACATCAGTGTCTGTATACTGAATACACAGTTATTTATCTCTGTCTTTGCAACATGGTGTAGCATGAATCTTAAAAGTTCTTATTAATAAAAATCAAACCTGAGGCCAGTTATTGGGGTGAATGCTGGAAGGTCAGAGAAGCAGAACAAGCCACAGCTTCCTCACCTTGCCAGTTCTTCAACTGATCCTGTTTCCTCAGACTGGATGCCTCTGAGTCCTCATCCAGAATGAATCTCAGCTGAACTGCTGCTAGAAGCCTGAAAGCTTGACCAGTCAAATGCTTCTAGTTCCTGGTCTTCACGCCTTATATACCTTTCTGCTATCTGCTATCACTCCCTGGGATTAAAGGTTCGCTTTCTGGGATTAAAGGCATGAGTCACCCAGCTTGGCTGTATCCTTGAACATATGGATTTCTGCCTCTGGAATTCCAGAGGCAGAAAATGTGAGTGCCACCATTTTCTAGCCTTTGTATCTAGTGGCTGTTCTGTCTCTGACCCAAGATAAGTTTATTAGGGTGCACAATATTTTGGGGAACACAATACCACCACAACATGGCTTTCTCCCATGGCCATCCCTGTACGTTAAGTCTGTCTAGACACTCTGTATGCCTGCACACTACTACGGCCATTGCGAAGCTCAATGGCATTCCCGTTTCTATGGCAGTGAGCTCCCAGCACACATACGTTGGTTGCTGTGAGACTCATGCCACTCTTCATTTCCTTGCCTCTATTTTTCTTTTACTGAAAATATATTTTTTCATATAATGTATTCTGATTACAGTTTCCCCCTCTTCCATGATCTCCTCTCATCCTCTCCATCTCCCTTCCCGTCTGAATCCACATCCATTCTGTCTTTCACTATAAAACAGGCATCGAAAGAATGATAATAAAATACAATAAAATAAGATAAAACAAAAAACCAAACAAACCAGAATATGACAAAACAAACAAAAGAAAATAGGTCAATGAGACAAAGAACCTCCAAAGACACCACAGAGCTGGTTTAATGTTGGCGAATTACTGCTGGGCATGGGGCCTGCCCTTATAATGAGTCATTTCTATCCCCAGTGGGACTCTGTTGAACAGGACTAATTTTTCATTTGCGAGTGGTTATCAATTAGAGATAGCTTCTGTGTTAGGGATAGGAGCATGTGTCCACTTCTCTCAGCGATGGGACCCTGTCCGGCACAGACCTGTGCAGGACCAGTGCAGGCTGCCTCAGTCTCCATGAGTTCATATGGACATGGGTCACGTTGTTTCCTTGGTGTCCTCCACTCCCTATGGCTCCTGGAGTCTTTCTGCCTCCTCTTCTGCATGTTTCCCTGAGCTTTGAGAGAGGAATTTAATGAGGGCATCCCATTAACGATTGGGTGTTCCAAAGTTTCTCATTCTTTGCAAACTGTCCGGCAGTGGGTCTCTGTATTTGTTTCCATTTACTGCAGGAGGAAGCTTCTCTAATGATGGTTGAGCAAGTCACTGACCTGTGAATATAGCAAAATTTCATTAGGAATCATTTTATGGCTGTGTTCCTTCCGCAGAACAGTTATATTTGGTTTTCCCTAGGTCCCTGACCTATCTGGTGTCAGGTTCTCAGCCACCAGCACCGTGTCAAGCATGAGCTCCATCTCATGTAGTGGGCCCTAAACCCAATCAGATAGTGGCTGGCTACTCTCACAAGCTTATACCATTATCACACAGTGAATCTTGCAGGCAGTTCATCACTATAGATTGAAGAGTTTGTAGTTGGATTGGTGTTTACCTTTCTCCTGTGTTAGCATGCAGAGTACCTTCCAGTACCATGAACACTAGTCTGTAAAGGTGAAGGCTCTACGTAGCCACCAGCTCTATACATGTGGCATGGAGTAGATATGCTAACAGACACAGAGCAAAACAATATGAAGGATATAAAGGAAAAGCAGTTACTGTGTCTGCAAGCACCAAGTAAGACGGTTGTGGGAAGACTAGAGCAATCATACATCTTAACAGATTTTTCTATGAAAATCACATCCTATAATGAAAAAAGGGAAACAGAAATAAGTCATTGATGTCACCGCTTCTAGGTGTAGTAGCAGCAAATCGCTGGACTCCTGCTATTAAAATCTTGAAAGGTTTACACAGTCACTTACTCCCTGCTATTTAAAATATACTCTTTCAAATTACCTCTATGTGCTTATCTTTGAGCTCCTATATTTTCTATTCAGGTCTCAGGCTGTGAGACAGGATATTCCATCAAAACCTCAAATAATTGCTAATGTTTTTCTAGCAAAGTTCTCTATTTGTTTGGACATGGTGACACTGTGCTTGCTTCATGATTATCCTTAATTTTATTTGCCAAACACATTAAGATTTATTCAGACATTGCTCTCCCATGTTGAAAAGCTTACAGAAAAATAGGGTGATAATAAATGAAAACTAATCCAATGTGAGAAAAACCATATCAGAAATGATATTGGCTAAAGATTTATTTGGTTCTTTAAAGAGTGACTTGGAAAATGGTATTAGTAAAAAGCTAATTTGTAAAAAGAGTCCAGGTAAGATGAATAAGATTTCATAAAATCATATGTGTCTGAGAATCTAAACATCTCATGTCCTATTTCTTATAAAGGATCAGATTATAGAAACAAGAAATTCAGTGTTGACTAGAAGTTAATCAGAGCAGGGCAAGAAAAAGAAACTAGATTCTTATCTTGCTCAGTTGCAATTTTCTGAGCTCTAAAAATTTCACCTTTTTGCAGACATCTGTTTTTGAAAAAAAAAAATTCTATCAGCAGATTAAAAAGATTTAGAAGATTAAAAAATAAGCAAGTCTAAATGTTTAGTCTTCTAATTCAAAAATAATAAGAAATAGACAGGACTGTCCCTGCCACCATGCACACAGTAACTCATTTCAATTCAAATTTTTTAACACTTTTGCAAATAAACTCTTAGAAACACTGTTGGTAGCAGTATCAACACTAAAGACCCTGGAGGAGTCTTCTGATGCCCAGGACCCAGATAATAAGTGGAAATAGTGAGTCAGGTCATAAGGAATCATAAAAGACTAGCAGTTTAACTGAAGTGTTATACTAACCAAAAGTATCTACCAAAGCCCTTTCAAAGCTCTGAAAGCCTACCTGTAGGATCCATTCTTTCACAAGCCTGAAATGTGCAACAGGTTATCTACTTACTGAAGCCCCTCTCTCTGTATTGCTATGGTCTCTACTTTCTAATGAGTGCTAAACACACTAGAAGAGGCAAAGAGTGAATGTGGGTTTTGCAGCCAGTCCAATAGTGTGTTGCTTCATTTCCCAAGCTTTCAACGCCAATCTCTCTATCTGTGTTCCTTCCGTGCACTCCTTTTGATGCTGCCTATCATTGCCATCACTTGCTTAAATATCAGTCTACCCTACTATGCCTACTTTAAGTACCCAGAGACATAGATTCATCCTGCTTTCGATTTGTAGTACCTTACAAGACTTCCATTGCAAGAATGCAATTACATTTGTTGTTTTAAAGGATCAAAATGTCTGCCTATACGCTTCCAGTATAGGTACGTTTTTATTTTTAAGACAGCTTCATGCTCAAATTGTCCTTTGCCCCATAATTCTTAATTGCTACAAGGTTTGTACAATATTACAAAGATTTTCCAAATTTTCTCATTAAAAATTATAACCATTCTTAAGACTATGATACTAGGCTGGAGGTGTAGCTCATTTGTATTTGTTGAGTGTTTGTGCCTTGCTCACACAAAACCCCATGTTCACTGAATCTCTCAGCACTACATAAAACTGAGCATAGTGGCTTAATCCTGGAATCCCACCACCCAGGAGGTAGAGGCAGGAGTACCAGAAGTTCAAAGTCATCCTCAGAGACACAGTTAGTTCAAAGCCAACTTGTCTACATGAGACCCTGTCTCTAAATAGATAGGCAGATAAACTGGTATTTTGGGAGAAAAGAAGCCATTCTGTATGATGTCATGAGAGTAAATGTGCATCACCATTCACACGTGAAAGCTCATAGAATATGCTGTATCCAAAATGAGCACTAGTGTCAACTCTGTACTTTGGATAACAATAATATATCAACACAGGTCCATTGGTTATAAGAAATAGATGACACTAATGAGTGGTTGCTGTGGGATGTTCTCTACGCTGTGAATGTGTTGCTCTGATTGGTTAATAAATAAAGTGCTGATTGGCCAGTAGGCAGGCAGGAAGTATAGGTGGGACAAAGAGAGAGGAGAATGCTGGGAACAGGAAGGCTGGGGAGGAGATGCCTGCCAGCCGCCACAAGAGGAGCAGGATGTAAAGTACCAGTAAGCCACGAGACCTGTGGCAAAGTAAAGATTAATAGAAATGGCTTAATTTAAGATAGAAGAACTAGATAACAAGAAGCCTGACATGGCCATACAATTTGTAAGCAATATAAGTCTCTGTGTGTTTACTTGGTTGGGTCGGAGCAGCTGCGGGACTGGCGGGTGAGAGAGATTTGTCCTGACCGTGGGCCAGGCAGGACTGGAGAAAACTTCAGCTACAAGTGGTGATCATGGTAGAGTTTGGGACAGGGTAGGGGATAAGAACTCTTTCCCCTTTTATTCAGTTTTACTGTGAGTCTAACACTGCTTTAAAAAATAAGCCTACTGCTTAACAAATAGAAACCACTAAGACTACAATAAGCATTACTTTTCTTAAGACTCAGACCTGGTTATTTAAGGACAATTCCACAGAGAAAAGGTAAGCATGAGAAAACTTCTGAAAGCTGTGGCTCTTTTTTTTTTTCTCTACTGGATTTTGTGAATCTCTATCTTCAAACACACTTAATGATTTAGTGAAACTACTTGGCAGTTTTTCTATTTTTGATTAATTTTATAAAGAAAAACCTGACAGTGGCAGTATATAAGATTGATAGAGACCCTCCAGCACCTTGTCTGTATTCCTCAGTCATTTCTGATACACCTGGGCCAAATCTGCCTGACCTGGACATGTATAGGCCTTGTACGGGCTGACAAGAGGCCTTTTTAAAAGGAGTGGTTTCAATTGTCAGTTTTTAGTTAGGAATTTCAGAAGGACGCCCTCTTTCAAGAACTTATTTTTGTATTTGAGCTTAGGAATGTCATTATACCTACTTGCCAATGGTCGAGCTTAAAGAACTGTGCTGTGGTAGAAATAAGTTGAAAGTATTAATGCAGTTCCTTCATACATAAGAAGTAAATATACTTTTTTTCTTAGAGTACAGTTTCTTAATGTGGTGTCAAGAGGGCACTTTTTATAACAACTATTTTGTACAACACCCCATGCCATCAGGAAAATGTAAATTAAAATTACTTTGTGATTCTATCTTACCATATTCAGCTTGTCTATTATCAAGAAAATATATGATAGGAAATACTGAGAAAATGTGGGGGAAAGAGGACTTCTCCTCATTTTTGGTGGGACATAAAATGGTACACTCATTATGGAAGTTAAAAAAATTTATTTTAATGGAACTACTATACGACATAGCTGTCCACCTTCTGGCCATATACCCATAGGATTCTAAGTCACACAGATACTTGCACATCCATTTATTGATGCACTACTCAAAATAGCTTAAAAAATGGAAACATCCTAGATGAGCAACAACAGGTGAACTGATCAAGAAGACATTGCACATGTGCACAGTGGAACTTCAGTAAGCCAAAGAGAAGAATAAAACCACGACCTGTGAAGGAAAATGGCCAGAGCTGGAACTTATAAAATGCACGGACTCAGAAAGGCAAAGAATGGATGTTTTCTCTCACATACTAAGTGTGTGTGTGTGTGTGTGTGTGTGTGTGTGTGTGTGTGTTATATGTGTCTGTGTCTGTGTGTGTCTGTGTATGTGTGTCTCTCTGTGTGTTTTTATGTGCCTGTGTTTGTGTGTGTGTATATGCACGTGTATCTATGTGTGTGTGTCTGTGTCTGTGTTGTCTGTGTCTGTGTCTGTGTGTATATGTCTGTTGTGTCTGTGTGTGTGTGTGTGTGTGTGTGTGTGGTGTGTGTGTGTGGTGTGTGTATGTGGTGTGTGTGTCTGTGTCTGTGTGTCTGTGTATGTGTGTCTCTCTGTGTGTTTTTCTGTGTCTGTGTTTGTGTGTGTGTGTGTGTGTGCATGTGTATCTGTGTGTGTGTCTGTGTGTATATGTCTGTTGTGCCTGTGTGTGTGTGTGTGTGTGTGTGTGTGCATGCACACCCATGAGCATGCAGAATCAGGAAGCTAGAAAATAAAGCCTAAAGGAAAAATGAGATCTCAATGTGGAGGGGGTGGGGGAGAAAAAACAAGATAATAGCATGTAGTTGACATAAAAATAGAAGAGGAGCTGTTGGGAGATAAAAGGAAATGTAGGAGACAGCATGGAGAGAAAGGAAGGAGGAAGAAGGAGAGGCAATGGGAACAATGTATGGAAATGACATAATGAAACCCATTACCTTTCATATTATTTTAGTAAAATTAACCAAACAAAAACACATTTTTCTTATCCAGAAAG